ATATATATATATATATATATATATATAATCATAATTCGTACATGTAACGTAACGTAGGTGGTTTATTTGTACATAATGGTGGGTTTCCAACTCTTATAAAGATCAATTATTATGGATTGGGCCGGGGGCCTGATCCGATCCATCATCAACAGATTAATAATCTCTAAAACCTTGTAATTTATCGTGTTCTTCCTAAATTACTGATCTTAAAATTCTATGGATGAATTAAGTTTATGTTCATTTCAAGCTTGGGATGTATTACATTACACTGATAGAAAAGTACGTATTCCAATTAAATTCATTAGGATCTCTCGGAAGTATTCCCTTGAATGTGGGTGATAGCTTTCATGGTTGAGATTTCGCATCATAGGTTCATCATGCCTAGAGACTTACTTTATTATGAAAATTTGAGAACAGTTGCCGAGTATTTTGTAGTAGTATAATAATAATAATTAATAATTAATAATAATAATAATAATATTATTATTATTATTATTATTATTATTATTATTATTTATTGTTATTATTATTGTTATTATTTCCCCTTTGGAGAATGCCGATCCCTTTGTTGGCTAAAGGTGACACTTACGAAGGCACATAAGAGGACATTGCCCTTTGGAAGTTCCAAAAGGTATCATTATCTCCTCCTCAGTCTCGCTCGCTGCAAACTGCTGATGCCTACTTGTGAACTACCAAAGTATCTATCATAACTTGATTGATTTGATTTGATTTCCATCACAATTCTCTTGTCAGAAGGCTTTGTAGGTCCCTTTAAATATAAAAAAAAGTATGTCCTCCCTAAAACAGGTTAGCATGGCTTAATCAGATCATCATCTCCGGATCAATCGATAGTACTAGGATGACCAAACATAGGATTAATAACACGCTAAAAGCAATCATGTTTTTCATGAGATATCAAGACCAAGTCTTAGATTAAGAAATCCGAGAGGGGGTGGGTGGAGGGATGTCTTTCTTAGACTAATCATGTTTTCTATGAGATCTTAAGACCAAGTCAAGGATTAATCTAGAGATGTCTTTCTTAGTTTAAGAAATCAATCAATCATGTTTTTCATGAGATCTCAAGACCAAATCTTTGAAGAGGTCCAATTAACACTATGCAAGAGTTAAAAAAAATCCATCATCATCATCATCTTCTTCTTCTTCTTCTTCTGACCGAAAGAAGAAATTTAGATAGATAATTATTATTATTATAAATATATATATTTTTTAGGAAACATTAAAAAAAGGAAATTTATGTTGATTAAGGCTGATTATAAAAATCTTCAGCAATAATTTGATCGATTATTATCATGCTAATAATGAATTTTCATGATACAATAATTATTATTTTTTATCATCGTGGATTTAATTTTAAACTTATACAGATAGATAGATAGATAGATAGATAGATATATGGACATATAAATCTCATTATAGATGATGAATGAATAGGTGGAATCAATTGGTAGATGATGACCGAGAATGCCCTCTCTACCTAAAAGCTGATACGAAGAATCCTTTGCTGTGACCTTTTTCGAGGGTGCCGATTCCAGTCATCAATGTTAGGTTGGTCCTATTTTTTAGCAGAATGGCATGTGGCATGTGGCAGGTCACACTCACAAATATATATATATATATATATATATATATATATATATATATATATATATATATATATATAGATAGATAGAAAGAGAGAGAGAGAGAGAGAGAGCCCTGTGAAATGGAGATGCGTGGGGTGGTCGATTATATATATATATATATATATATATAGAAGAGAGAGAGAGAGAGAGAGCCCTGTGAAATGGAGATGCGTGGGGTGGTCGATAATATATATATATATATATATATATATATATATATATATATATAGAAAGAGAGAGAGAGAGAGAGAGAGAGAGAGCCCTGTGAAATGGAGATGCGTGGGGTGGTCGATAAGGGTAAGTGCATCTCACCTGGATGGATGCTTCCTTCCTCTCACACGATCTCCATAAGTTGATATGCGCTCTTGTAATCGACCTAACCTTCCATCCCTATGTCACACACATCACCATCTTAGTTGGTATTTGGTAAGCATTTTATGAGTTGTGATGAGATTCAAATTACTCCAACTAAGTTTTAGTTTTAGTTTTAGTTATAGTTAGAGAGATTCAAATTACTGTTAGAATTATGGATATAAAATTATAATATGTTGCTATAATTATGTCATATATCTCATCTCAAGATTTTAACGAGAAATCTAAATATTTACTAAATCTAAAATTTATTATATAGAGAATCGAGAGCTTCTTCTTGTAAACATAAATATAGAGATGGAGAGAATAATTGTTAAGGGTTAATTTAAAAAAGGATTTATAGTTTGTATTAGCTCAACAAGACAGTTAGTTAGTTAGTTAGTTATTCTTTGTATTTGATTTTTATTTTTTTAATTTAATAAAAAAATATTATTTCGTAGATAAAAGAAAATTTTTTTTATCGAATTACATAATTGGTTCAAATAATAAAAATATAGAATATAAGGATAAGAATGTTGAGGTGGGCTGTCACGATCGACATTCTTCTCTCTCGTCTACAGACATACGTACGATTGAAGAAGATGACAAAATATGATGCGGATCTAATGATGTTCATCGAGATGGCTCGTTGGTCCACATATAGAAGAAAGAATCAAAGAATCAAGAGAAGAGATGAGGCAAGCTGATGATGGATGGATGAATGGATGTGGTCCCACCGTCATCTTAATCTATTGATTGATTTTTGTGATCCTTAAACGTTCCACTGTCCATTTCTTCCTCATCCTTATCATCTTCTATTCCTCTCCTCCTCGATCATCCATCTCTCGTCCGCATAAGGTTCCAAGGTTGACAACACCACCACCTCACACAAACTGGTCTTATCCGATCGACCAGCCAAACCCCACAAAAGATACGCCGCCGACCTGCATCTCTCTCTCTCTCTCTCTCGATCGTGTAAGCCAAACCCACAAAAGATACGCCGCCTACCTGCATGTTGATGGAATACTCTCTCTCTCTCTTTCTCTCTCATTCTCTCTCTAAAGCATGTCTTTCTCCTCTTCCAATTAGTTATCAGTCCCTACAATTCGCCTCCACCACAGCCTTGGGTGCACTGCATGTAATCCCACAATTGCTCGGCCCTTTATTCGGACATGGAATCAGTAGATTGTGATGAAAGATTTTGTTCTCCATTATTAAGTTCGATGGGGATTCCTATTTGTGTTGGATGCAACAATTGTTTATGATAATTGAAGCTTGGCTCTTTCTCTTTGTTCTAACATCATCAGGGAAGGAATGTACGTACAATTATTCTTACAACCATTATTTGTGGTATTTATTCATTGTTTTCATAGATTCCTAGTTGTACAAACCCAAACACATTTCTCTCTCTCTCTCTCTCTCTCTCTCTCTCTCTCTCTCTCTCTAATCAGAAAAATAATATATTTAGACAATCATGTAAAAGCAATAATTTATCCATAATAGATCATGTAATTATATATAGATATTTATTATTTGTGTGGAATTCTAAGGTATACCCAACCAAACATCCCATTCTACTTTATTTTAATCATACATACATAATTAATAAGAAAGTAAAAAATAATAATAATTTTTTTATTTTTTTTTATAGATTATATATATATATATATATATATATATATTAAAAAAAAAGGGTTATATCGTATAATGGGCACATGAAAGTTAATATGGCGGGACCCACCACACTGGTCTTGTGCTGATCCGATCGTCAGATCAGATCAGATCGAACTCTTGTTTAGGATCGATCGTTGTCCTCATGCAAACAAACCTGATGATGACATGAGAGTAGGCGGGGATGCATTCGATCTACATAATTTTTTAGGGTAAAACAAAATGTGTATGTATGCATGCATATGTCAAGTGAAAATTAATCCCTCATTTAGTAGTAAATTTACAAGCTATTCGATGCAGGAAAGGAAGTGAAGAACCCTTATCACTCTCTTGATTCATTAGGTCCATATGTTTCTGCTGGTGGCTTCGATTAATCTTTTTCTCGTAGCAACAAGATGTTGCTGCTGTTTGTGCAACTGCAGCAAAACCACACAGCCACTACACACAAAATCATTATTTGATCATTAATTAGACCACCGACAACTCTCCTGTTCGCTTTCGTAATAGGAGAGGGGGGTGGTAAGCTTATCTATCTTTTGATGCTTCAAAATAATTCATCATCCTCCATCCAGTATTTGTCTACGCAATTCAAACCCATATCATCATCATTCACACCTCCCATTTCAGGTTTGATTTTGGATTTCATTATCTTTGTTCTAAAATTATTATTATTATTATTATTATTATTATTATTATTATTATTATTATTATTATTATTATTATTATTATTATTATTATTATTATTATTATTATTATTATTATTATTATTATTATTATTATTATTATTATTATTATTATTATTATTATTATTATTATTATTATTATTATTATTATTATTATTATTATTATTATTATTATTATTATTATTATTATTATTATTATTATTATTATTATTATTATTATTATTATTATTATTATTATTATTATTATTATTATTATTATTATTATT